TTCTGCCTTTTATCCTAATAATGGGAAAATATTCTGTGGTTTTCATAATTATTCATTGTAATAGTAGCATAATATTATTTTTTGTTGCTGTCAATACTTTTTTTTTTTTTTGGTCCTTTTTGAGACCGGCCACACCGCACTCAGCCAGTGAGCGCACTGCTGCGCTCCCAGTGCCGCACTCTCCCGAGTGCGCCACGGGCTCGGCCCTGTCAATGCTTTTTAAACCATTTCCTTAATGTTGGACATTTAGGTCATTTCCAGATTGGAGCTATTCTGTATTGCATTATAGCAAACACCGATTGCTTTTCCATTTTATTCTGGCTAATTTTGCGAGAAGACAAAGTCTCAGGAAGTCAAGACTGTGAATACCACCTTGCTGCTTCATAGCCCAATACCAGCCTAGCCCAGGGTTTTGCCTGGCCTTTATTTCATTAAAGTTTTTAAAACATGCTTAATATAACTAGCAGTTTCTGGAAATGGTTAAGGTTTTTGTCTTTTGCAAAAATTGATTACCCTCTTGAGCATTGAACTGGTCCTTCTCAGTGGTCTCCGGAATGCCATAGAGCTCCTGACAGGAGGGACTCAAGTAGGAAAAGCTGCTAGAGGTGGAGCATTTCACCTCTCTCCAGCTGTGTGCAAAGAATCATCAGCAGAATCACATCCATGAATCCTGATAGAAAAGTCTCTGGTCTCTCAAGAATCAAAAAGTACAGTGTCAGAATCCATCACATTTATCTGGCATTTCAGCATCTGGCAATTTATTGGACGGCCAGCCCTATCCTCAGCCATACAGAGATCCTCAAGTCCTGTGGTGCTAGAGAATTCCCCAGGCACACAAAGACTGATGTATCTTTAACCCACCTATCATTGTCTTCCAAAGACCAAGGATGTTCACTTGAAGGGGAAAAAAGCTTTACCATGGACCATTTCTCTGTGCAGTTCTCCTTTTGTGTTTTTATTAAAAAATGACTTAAGCAAGCTTTTCCACACCCATACTGAATAGCAGATAAGTTAGATGACATGTTATGAAAGTTTATTTCACATATAATTATATATGCTAAACCTTGTCCTCAACACAAAGAAGGAACTTTGGAATATGCATAAAATTTTATGCATACCATTCTGATCTGTAGTTACAGAAATAGCCTTACAGCTTTTTTCTTTTTTTTTCCTGAAAAGAAATATTCCCTTGTCCTAGGCCCTCCATTGAAAATGGACCTTAATGGGCCACAGCAGTACTAAGAGGATACTTCTTTCCAAGGCCTTAAGATCAACATTCTCTGATTTGTGTGGACTGGAAAAGAGTAGTGACGTTCCATTTGGTAGATGGCATGGTTTGCTGAGACAGGCTGTAAGCCATACAAAGTTGTTGTTGTTGTCTAATGACATGGTAAATGGAGGAATTTTGCTGATGATTATTTTGGGTTTGGGTGACCTCTGAGTGTCACTTGTCATTTTTGATTGATGTGGTTCACAAATGCTCTGAAAGTGAATTTCAGGCTGATTCTAGCACTGTGTGCTGTTCTGAGAGTCCACAAACCAGGTGAGCAATGGGTACTAGTTATTTCTGTAAGGTTGCCGAGGAAGGAGACACTAGCCAGGCAAATGAAGAAAAGAAGATTTTATTAGCAAGCAGCAAGCGGACCTGCCGGGCTGAGCCAAGAAATGGCATCAGCACCGAGAGACAGTTGGGTGTTGTAAGGAAAGTGAAGGAAGATGGTCAGGGCCCCTCAGGGCTTCAGAATCTTGCCGAGCATTTGATATAAATATGCACGTGCGCCCGGATGTTCCTTGGCTATTGTCTAATGTACTTGTGCATGTGCATCCAGGTGTCCTGGGTTATGGACTTACATATAAAGGATGAGTGGCTCTGATCCACGGCCCCCCCCCGCCCCCCCGTGATGACCCCTGGGGGGCCACAGGGAGGCCACTACTGCTGCTGGAAGCTGCTGCTACTGGAGACTGTTGCTGCCAATGGCTCCTGGGATCTTTCCCAATTACCTAGTGTGATCCTGCGTGTGAGGGGTCTGGTGACCCAGCCTGTACAACATGTTCTAAGGGTCTGACCCCTAGCCCTGACAATACAAATGGAAAACTTAGTGTAACTAAAATAACGAAACGTTTTGGCTTTAATAGATGAATTGCCTAATCAGACAAGTCTATAGCCATACAATTGGCTAAGTCGTCAGGAGTCCGACAATGGCCACAACCCGACAGGTGTCTTCATTCATAGGGTTAAGATTGTCATCTGGCCTAGCCTAGGGAGAAGTCACAGTGTTCCATTCTGGGTACAGCTTGCTCATGGGAACAGAGACTTGGGGAGACAGAAACCTTGGGCTAGCAGGGGAAGCAGTTACAATGTTACACTCTGGCTGCAGCCTGCTCAGCCTGCTGGTGGGAACAGAGACTTAGGGAGATAGAGACTTAGAGAAACAAAACTGAAGGGTGGGGGCTTTCTAAAAGTCAGGTTCTCAGTTCCAGGGACCTAACAACTTCCTTTCCTCATACTTGACTTCCTTGTGAGTCTGAATTTAGCTTCAGATGTGGCTTAGTCAATGGTTCTCAGAATATCTGGTCTAAGGATCCCTTTACATTCTTAAATATTATGGGCCAGAGGCTGAAGGTTTCTACCAGCTCAAAGATCTGTACTCTGTGGTTAAACATCCTCTGCCAATTAATCAGCTCTAAGGCAGGTTGGGAGGCACCTGACGGTGACTGATGGTCCACTGTGTGCCAGCCGCCTACTTTTCCTTGGTTAATTCCAACAACTCCCTATTTTTCTATTTAGGAAGATAGAGCACAGAGAGGTCATGTCACTTGCCTCTAGATCCCACAGCTAGCTACTGCTGGATCAACCTGGATCTGCCAACCCCACGTGCATTTGTCTGTGTCCGTTCTACCGCTCTGCACTGTAGGGGTAGACTAAGTGCTTCTTGTGGGGAAAGGGATTCCTGCCCCATGGTTGGTACCATGGCTCATAGATGTCCCTTAATAACGTTTGAATCAAATTGAATATGACTTGGACACAGTTTGGCCGAGGGAAGATCTGATGGGCTAGTTCAGGTCCAGTGTACCAAGACGGAGAGTGAGACTGCACAGGGCTTCCGCGTCACACAACTCCACGGGACACCATTCATATCCTAGTTTATGTGAATGGTACTCCCTGGAGCTTGCAGAGCACAGTCTGTGCACACCTACTGGGAAGTCCTGGTTCAGCACATAAATGCCTGTTATTATTATCATCACAGACTTTAAGAGGTCAGGAACAATATCCTACCCATCTCTGGGTCCCTATGGTGCCCAGTCCAAGACCTAGGAGGTGCAGTAGGTGGTCCACAGGTACTTGTTTGATGTGACTGCTCGGTCTCTCCCACTAGGCTGTAAGTTCCATTAGGTCAGAGCGCCCGCTCCAAGGAGAATTCTCTCACACTGCTGCTGCACACACCAGTGGTTTGTAACAATGCCATTTGCCTCCTTCAGGTCTTGCGCTTCAGTCGTGGGCGAAGCCTGAGGAAAAAGAGAGAGAGGCTCAAGGAAGAGAGGAGAGCCCAGTCTGTGCCAAGAGATGAGGTGGCACAAAGCAAGGTGGGGGGTAGTCCTCCCGCCCGTCCCCAACTCCACCCACTTCCAGAGGGTGGGAACCTACCTCCCTTCTTCCACTGGGGGCATCTGGTGGCCGTCATGCCCTCCTCTGCCCTCCTTCCCACAGGGGTTCCTCAAACTATTGCCAGTCTTTCTTCCTTTGGCTCCCTGTCCTCCACTCCTCCAGGACTAATGATCATGTGCCTCTGTGCATGGGCTGCCCATCACCCATCCAGCACCCTGTGTGGACAGACTCACCAGCCCATGTACCTGTGGCCTTTTTCCCTGCCATGTGGCATGTGGGCAGCACTGCCTCTCTGACACTGTGCCCTTAATTGAGTAGAGCAGTGGTTTTCAAAGTGTGGTGTCCAGTGTGTCACCTGGGACCTTGTTAGAAATGCAAACTCTTGGTCCTCACCCACAGAAACTCTGGGGTGGGGCCCAGCGATCTGTGTTTGAACAAGCCCTCCCCGGGATTCTGACGTAGACTAAACTTTGAGAACCACTGGCACAGGTTGCTTCATCTCTTTCTACGTAGAAAATGTACCAAGGCTGTGCTTGGTATGCATATGGTATGGCTCTTTTGTGCAAATTAGAAAAAGGTGCCCCTGGGACAGCCCAGCCCTGCATGGGGCACACATGGTGAATAGAGCCTGAGTTGGATTCGGCTCTTCTTGGCCCTCTTTTCCCTCAGCTAGGTGTCCGTGTGCAGTGAACAGCTTGCACAACCGTGCATGGATGCCCTGAATGAACCATGCCTTTCAGCTGTCTCAGGACGAGGAAGACTAGGATACAGAGATGACTTTTGGCACATAAAATGTTATCAGCAGGTTCTTGCTCTTCTGTCTGGTATTTCGGAATCCTCTCATCAATTTCCAGGGCTAAAGCATTATTAACTCTGATTAACGTTCGAATTGTACAAATTAAGTTGTAAAAGTTCTCACAAAGACCAGAAATACCTTATTTTTTCATTTCTGAGGGTTTTCATTCTCCACCATGAATTATGGGGGTCCCAGTTCAAAGAACAAATGGGCTTTTGTTGAAATGCAAAAGACCAAAAATCTCTAATGCTGAGGTGTTTCGTATGTGGTAGGTTCCTGGAGTTCTAGAACATAGAATTAGACCCAAGAATATATTCAGTTGGGGACCTGCTAAATGAAATGAAAGCCAAATATTCAAACAACCAGGAAAAGCATTATATGTTCAGTTTATACCACCCGTGTTCACTATGTCTCAAATTTATGTCACTGTCAAATTCCCGTGGGTCCCTTATAAGATGGCGTCTTGCAAACAGAATTTTACCCTGTACGTGGAAAAGGCCAAAGGAGTATGTAGAACAGGTTTCTGGGCTTTTTTCCTCTGTAGGGAAGTGTCTCAGCAGGAGACACCCCCAGCAGTGAACAGGCTGTGCTCAGAAAAGAGGAGGCCAGAGAAGATTTCCTGTCAGCCTCGCCTGAGCCCAGAGCCAAGGATGACAAGAGCAGAAGGTCACGGCCCAAGGTCAGCAGGCACGTGAAAGCAGCCGAGGGTGGCTGGGAGGCAGGTTGGCAGAGGATTCAGGACATCGGGTCCCCAACAGCTAAAAAGCCACTTCACTTGGTTTGCTAGTTCGGAGCCAGAGCACAGAAATTAAATCTGGCTGACTTCAGACATAAGGTTGTCACACTTGTGTATTTCTTTTGACATGTGTCACTTGGAATTGGACACCATGAGGTGAAGCAAGGTAGGCTTCTTTGCCCAAAAGTGGGTGAGATGGGAGCCACCGGCTGGGTGTCACTCTTGCAGATGTCACAGGGCTCAGGGGTGTCGTCTCTTTCTCCCCCACAGGTGTCAGCATTTTCCGACCCCACTCCCTCAGCAGACCAACAGCCTGGACACCGGAAGAGCTCTCACGCTCACAGTCACCCTAAAAAGAGGGGCAGGCACCGGTGCTCATCCCCGCCCCCGCCCCACGAGTTCAGAGCGTACCAGCTGTACACGCTGTACCGCGGCAAGGACGGGAAGGTGATGCAGGTACCACAGCCCGCGGGACTGGCAGCGCCCGCCTCACCAAGGCTGCCCACACGGTTCCTGGGGGCTGAGCGCCACCTCGGGCATTGACTTAGTAAAGCATGGGCTTTGAGGAGACGCCAGATGGCCTCCCCCCATCAGTGGTGTGGATACAGTCCTGCTGCCAGGCCCAGGCCAACAGAGGTGTAGTTACAGAACTTTCTGCACCACTGTGGGTGACTAGATATCTTGAGGCCCCAGCAGATGAAAGCAGATTGAGATGGGACCCTATCCTACCCTCTTTGAGCCTTCTTAGTGCTCACGGGGGCCAAAGCTCAGCCTATGGGACGTTCCAAAGCTATGACAGGTACGAGTCTGTCTCCTCCATCCCCTGTATGCCCCTGGCATGCTGCCTGGCACACTGTGGATGCTCAGAACGTGTTTGTTGAAGGAACTAACATGTTGGCTTGATTCCTTTTTTGTTTCCCTCTTAGGCCCCAATAGATGGTTGTCGATGTGAACCTCTCATCAACAAGCTGGAGAATCAGCTGGAGGCCACTGTGGAGGAGATAAGAGCAGAGCTGGGGGCGGTTCAGGACAAAATGAACACAAAGCTGGGGCATATGGAAAATAAGACCCAGCACCAAGTAAGCGAGTGGCCCAGCCTCCTAATTGCAAGGTGTTGTGGCCGGAAATGAAAGCAGAGACCCTAGCACACCTGTCGCCCTGACGGTGTCCGGGAGCTGCCAGGGAAGAGGCCTGCTCGTGTAATTTTGTTAAACTGCATTAATTTTGATTTTTAGGAACATGTTTACATTGCTTCTGATTCTAAAAGTAGTATATCCCCATTACACAGCATTTTAAAAAAATATGAAAATTAGGAATAAATCACCTATAAGCTTCCTGTGATGAAAAAAAGCAATATTAATATTTGGGTTTATTTTCCTCCAGTCCTTTTTTTTTTTCCTTTTTGTCTTTTTCCGTGTCCGGCAACGGATCGCAACCCTCAGTGTCGCCCCCGTACCGGACCGGGACCAGCAACGGGATCGCAACCCTTGGTGTCGCTCCCGCGCCTCGCTCAGCCAGTGAGCGGGAACCGGTCTGTATGTGGGATCCGAACCCTCGGCGGGAGCGCCGCTGCGCTTCCCAAGCGGCGCACTACAGCAGTGCACCACCGGGCCGGCCCATCCTCCAGTCCTTTTATATGGTTTTTTCCCCCCAAATAATAGACTTTATAGCACTTTTAGGTTGACAGAAAAATTAAAGTGCAGACGGTTCACATACCCTCCTCCCACACACACAGTTTCTCCACATCTTACCTTAGTGTGGTACATTTGTTACAAGTATGAACCAGTGTCGGTGAATTATTATTAACTAAAGTTTACATTAGGGTTCCCGCTTTGTGTTGCTCTATGGGTGTTTGCCAAATGCATAGTCATGTATTAATCATCACAGTATCACACAGAATGGTTTTGCTGCCCTAAAAATCTTCTGCGCCCCACCCATTCATCTTTCTCCCCCCCTCACTTCTCCCCTGAAACCCTGGCAAACGCTGTTTCCCCCCCTTACCTCAAACATTTGTCGTTTCTCTGTGTGAGGAACTCTCAGATTCCTCTCTTCTAGCTAATTGAAACTGTACAATAAATCGTTGTTATTGTGGTCACCCTACAGTGCTGTGGAGCACTAGATCTTATTCCTGTTGTCTAGCTGCACTTTTGTGTCCGTTTACCAACCCCTCGCTCTCCCTGCACCCCCTTCCAGCCTCCAGTAACCAACCACCACAGTTGTTTTCTATGTCCATGTGCCCTATACCCCTTCCTCCTAGCACACAAAATTAGAATAATGATGTCTATAGTTTTTTCTTTTCCCAACTTTCTGTTCTGAAAATTGTCAAACATACAGAAAAGTTGAAAGAATAATGTAATGAGCGTTTGTATGCTCTCACCGAGGCCCAACCAGTTGTTAACACGTTGCTACATTTGCTTTGTCTCTCTCCCATATTTTTTTCTCTTGTTTGAGATTTAGTGGCAGACTGTCCTGACACAGCACCTCTAAATACATCAGAGTGCTTAGAATAAGGACTTTCTCCGTCATAATTATAATACCTTTATCACATCTGAGAAAATTAACAGTAATGGCATAATATCCAGCCCATGTTCAGGTTTTCTCAATTGTCCCAAAACGGTTTTTGTTTTTAATCCCAGTCCAGGATCCAGCAGAGGTTCAATTTTGTGCATTTGACTGTTAGGTCTCTGTGATCTCTTTTAATCTAGAACAGTCCCTGACTCCTTTTTTCAGCTTTTCTTCCCCCATGAGATTAACTTTTTGAAGCACCCAGGTCAGTTGTTTTATAGAGGATGCTCTTCATTCTGGATTTGTCTGGTAGTTTCTTCATGGTGTTATTTAACTTGTTCCTCTATCCCTGCATTTCTGTAAACTGACAGGTCTTGAACTATGTTTCTCAAAGTGTGGTTTCTGGCCCAGTAGCATCAGCATCACCTGGGGGCCTGAGGGGAGAAAAAAGCAAATTCTTTGCCCTCATTTCAGATCTACTGAATTGAATTAAACTATGAATGAACTGGGGGTGGGGTCCATCACCCTGTGTTTAACAACCCTGTGTTTCCAGGTGATGCTGGTGTGTGCTAAAGCTTGACAACCTCTGGTGTAGATATTTATGTAGGTTTAGGTTAAACATTTCTTTTTTTTTTTTTTTTTTTTTTTTTTTTTTTTTTTTTTTTTCTTTTTCCATGTCCGGCAACGGATCGCAACCCTCAGTGTTGCCCCCGTACCGGACCAGGGACCGGCAACGGGATTGCAACCCTCGGCGTTGCTCCCGCGCCTCGCTCAGCCAGTGAGCGGGAGCCGGTCCGTATGTGGGATCCGAACCCTCGGGCGGGAGCGCCACCGCGCTTCCCAAGCGGCGCACTACCCAGTGCGCCACCGGGCCGGCCCTAGGTTAAACATTTCTGACAAGAATAATTCATAGTGGTGTAAACTTCAAATTGCCTCACATCAGGAGCACATAATGTCAGCATGTCTCATTATTAATGACATTATGTTTGATCACTTGGCTAAGTGTTAATTGTCAAACATACAGAAAAGTTCATACCATACTTCTCCATTATAAAGGTACACTTTCCCTTTGTAATTAATAAGAAATGTGTGATGGTGTTTTAGTCCTTTTTGTGTTGCTGTAACAGAAATACCTGGGACTGGGTAATTTATAAAGAGAAAAGGTTTATTTGGCTTACGATTCTGGGACAGCTGCATCTGGCACGGGCCTCAGGCTGCTTCTACTCATGGTGGAAAGTGGCAGGCAGCTGGCGGGTACAAGCAGATCACATGGCAAGAGGAAGCAAGAGAGAGACAGACAGACAGAGAGGAGGTGCCAGGGTCCTATAAACAAAAAGCTCTCATGGGAACTAATAGAATGAGAACTCACTCATTAATCCCCCCTCCCCCAGGGAGAGCATTAATCCATTCATGAGGGATCTGCCCCCATGACTCACTCAGTTTCCAACACTGCCACATTGGAGATCAAATTTCCACATGAGTTTTGGAGGGGACAACACATCCAAACTCCATCAGATGGATATAGATTTTTAAATGCAAAACAACAACAACAACAAAAAAAAAACTTTATAAATAACGTATATTCATTGGAAAAAAAATTCCACATTACAGAAATTTGTTTCATAATGACACTTCCCAGGATCCCTTCCATTTTCCATAGATTTTTCTCTCCTATGGATCATGACTGACATAATTATTGCTTTTAAGCAAAAATGGAACCATGCTGGGTTTGTTTTCTGTTTTGTTTTGTTTTTTGGGTTTTTTTTGGCAGCTTGCTTTTTCATATAGTAATATGTCTTAGACATGCAGAGTTACAGTATGCTTTTTAATGGCAGTGTACTATTCCTATGTATGAAGGAAAGGTACTTTGCTTCTGCTTTTTTCACTTAATTTAACATCATGAGCATTTTCCCACGTCCTCAGCTTCATAAATATTCCAGCATACTCATACAACATAATTTATTTAACCATTCATTGTTGTTAGGCTTTTATAGTTACCTATAGTTGATCACTGATACAAATAATGCTATGAGGAACACTTATGTACATGAATTTTTGACTGTTTCTCAGATTATTTTCTCAGAATTAGGATAATTGGATCCAAAGATAGTATCTTTAAGGCTCTTTATAAATTTTGGCAAATCACTTAGAAGAAAGGCTGTACCAATTTATATCCCACCAACAGTATCTGAGTTTCTGTCTCAACCCTTTGCTATCATTTAATATTATCACTTTTTTAAAGTTTTTGCCAAATTGATTAAGGACATTTACTAAAACAGTTTTATTTCTCTGTTCACTGTTGAACATTTTTAAGGTTTATTTGTTATTTGCATTTCATGGAAAGCTCATTAAAAAAATTTTTTCTTAGGGCCATAATATATTAGTTAATACTGTTTTGTGTATTAAAAACCCACTTCAGCTAGCCTAAACCTAAAGAGGAATGTTATTAGATGAATGCTGGGATATCTCAGGGACCTCTCTTCAGTTCAAGGAAGGTGACAGATTGGGGTGTAGAATCTTAGCTCTAATTCCAAATGGCAGGGAAAGGACTCTGGCGCAGTATATACTCACACTGAGTCAGGTGCTTATGCCTGAGCCAGTTAACCATGACCTGTGAACAAAGCAATGTATACACATGGCTGCTCTTGGTATAAATATCTGTAGAAAGAGGATAAGGAGATGGGGGAGTAAGTTCTAGAAAACAGGAGGAGAGCAGTTCACAGACAAACATGAGGACTGAAAAGACAAAACAGAAGGTGCTCACCACGTCTTCAGAACTGATGTGGGGTTTATTTGGTTTTTGTTTTTTTTAGTTTTTGCACATTTGAGTGTGGAATACCATATATGTCCCTGACAGGAGACGAGCTCACCAGTGAGCCCTCACAGGCTGGCTTTCACTTGTAACATTTCTTTCTTTCTTTGGACTTTGTCAAAGCAGTGAATGTTTGCTTCTGCTAGGTGTTAAGGCCCTACAGGAAATGTCAGGATGAATGGGGGCCCCAGAAGGGCATGAGATTAAAAGGTGACAACTGCTTATTCTCTGAAGCAGTCCTTTTAAACACCTTCCACACCCTTTCTGCACATGCTCCAACTACTTCCAGTGACGCACCAAACATATTTGCTCACTGGAAAAGCTGGATAAAAGCCCCAGGTATTCAGCTTGTTTCACTACCTCATTAGCAACTGCTAACATTTTTTAAAGTATGTGTGCATGGGGGCAGGGAATAGCTCCATACTTTCAGAAAGAGTTTTCCCTTGGGCCGGCCCGTGGCTCACTCGGGAGAGTGCAGTGCTGATAACACCAAGGCCCCGGGTTCGGATCCCATGTAGGGATGGCCGGTTCGCTCACTGGCTGAGCGTGGTGCTGACAACACCAAGTTAAGGGTTAAGATCCCCTTACCGGTCATCTTTTTTAAAAAAAAAAAAAAAAAAGAAAGAGTTTTGCCTTATAGCAGTCTTGGAAATAATGTTCTAAGGGCTACAAAAATTCTCTTTTGCCTACAAGGTCTGCATGTTCCTCAAGTTGTATATTTACTGCATATCCACAGTCTCTTAAACCCCTTAGGACTTTAACAAATGAGAAAAAGAAACACTGGCCTCACAGAGACATGCTCAGGAATTCTGAAAAGTAGAGTTGCATGGAAACTCTAAGAGAATAGAATAGAATGAGGAGCTGCAGTTGGCCTGCTTGCTTTCTGGCCCCTGCTTGGCACCCCTGAGCCCCTCCTCAGGAGTTGAGAGCCCAGGCCCATCCTTAGATCATCCTAGTCAGGTGCTGTCTGTTCCGCTTGAATCCTAGATGCGCGTTCTGGATAAGCTGATGGCAGAGAGACTCTCCGCAGAGAGGACGGAATGCCTGCACCGCCTGCAGCAGCACGCAGACACGGAGAAGCACGAGGGAGAGAAACGACAGGTGAAAACCAGCCTGGTGGTCCTTAACTGACGATTTACCACACATGTCCGCTGAGTTAAAAGAGTCAGACCTGTCATTGAAAACTCAGAGGCTGAGACTCCTTAAAAGTGTGTGCATTACACAGCATATCATTTTTCTAACCCCCAAATGAAGTTAATACAAAAGAACCTATAGTTCAGTTTATGGATATGTTGCCAATAGGTGGAGAATGAAGATGCTGGGGAAGATGTCATCTGTATCCTCAACCAACCCTGTGTAGTGTGCATTTGTTGGGCCATTCCACTTTGTTGACATGGTTCCTTCCTTCAGGGAGTTTACTGTCTACCCAGGACAGTAGACATGGAACGAGTACTTGTGAGCATGAGAGCGCTCATGCTCTTCAGCAGCCAGAAATGCTTGGTTTGGAAGATTTAGGTGGCTTTGGGTGTTTAAGGCGACTTCGAGTCACTAAATGAAGATTACAGGTATCCCTCAGCCTGGGTGCCTGGTGCGGCCTATGGGAGGATGGGTAATATCCACAACTTTTGGGTTCGTCAAGATGATATCCTCAACTATTATAATTGAAAAGTCCATTCTTAGTGCTTTAACTCATGAACCATGTATCAAATTCGCCTGATTCTCTTGGGTACTAATTTGTAGGGGTTTTTTTAGATGTCCTTGGTGGATGAATTAAAAACCTGGTGCATGTTAAAGATTCAGAATCTGGAGCTGAAGCTTTCAGGAGATTCTAGGGCCTCCAGAGCTAAATCCACACCATCTACTTGCGAGTCTTCTACAGGTAACCCACATGCAGAGAGAGCCCTTCTGTGCAAAGGTAATGCAACCCCCCAGATCTTGTTCTCTCCTGCATCTGAAGGCAGTCCATGATAGAACGGTGGAAAACACTGGATTGTAGAGTAAGCTCTGTAGGGGCAAGGGTCATGTTTTCCTCACAGCTGTATACTCAGTTCCTATTCAATAATAAAGCACTGTTATTTATTTAAGTGCTCAAACATATTTGAATGAAGGATTAAAAGAATTATTGATTAGTGATAACAGTACTTCAGGTACAATGAGTGGACCCCAAAGATGAGGGCCAATGAATGACCATCTGTTTCCTCAGCAGGGCTGTCTCCTTGCCCTTTGTGCCTCTTTCCCCTTTCTTCTTCTTGATGGCCTTTTACCTTTGTCCAACTATGCAAATCCGCATTAAACAGCAGTTCAGGTATTGAACTTGCCCCAGGTGCTACATAAGAGATGCTTTAAGCAAAGCATCTTTACATTGGCCACAGTGATTACAATCAATGATGATAATTTTGAGGACATCCAGAGCCTTGGTAATTAGGTCTCAATGAAGGACTTTGATATGTCATGTGTTTTGTTTCCATATGCCATTTCTGGAACTGTGGTTTTATCTTCTTTACCAACATTGGGAAACATACTGGGCAAATTTTTTAGATATGGAGCTTGTCATGGAGCTCTGGGTATGGAGAATAGGACCACCTTTACAAACTGGAGCTTGGATCAAGGAACTAGTACACTGGGATTATGATGTGGGAAGGGCCCAAAATTAGAGAATAGGAGCATTCACTCTCATAGATAAATGCCCAATTCTGTCTTGAGACGCCTGGTGAGCTGTGTCATCTTTAGGCATCAGGAACTGAGACCCAAAGCCTTCTAGGGCAGGTTGAGACAGGCTAAAGGAATGGCTAGCAACGTTTTTGGCTTTGATGCCACCAGTGTGGCTAACACAGAATCCATGAAAGCCCTAAGGAGCCAAAATGATAAACAGGGGAGATGAAGTAGAAGGGAAAGATAGAAAGGTGAGAAGAACCACAGAGAAGTTGCATGTGGTGGGTGGTGACTAAGAAGGCTGGGGTTTACAGGATTCGTACGACTCACAAATGCTGACCCACACCCACATGACAGTGTGGATTTGCTCTGACATTTGTTTTCCTTCTGAAACCAGGTGTGGATCAATCAGTGGTGACTGCAGGTCCAGTGGCAGCTTCTGACAGTTCCCCTCAGGTGGTTAGGCCCAAGGAAAAGGCCCAAAACTCTACAGCTACTCACAGACTGCAGCAGGAGCTGTCTTCCTCCGACTGTACAGGCTCCCGACTGAGGAATGTCAAGGTCCAGACAGCTTTGCTACCTTTGAATGAGGCATCCAAATGCGATCAGCAGGCTGGGCCCTGCGTCAACAGAGGCACCCAAACCAAGAAGTCTGGGAAAAGTGGGCAGACAAAGCATCGAGCCCAGCAACCAGCCCCCAGCAACACCTGTGGGCAGCCGCCACCAGCAGCCGGCAGTGAGCCGCCTGCCCCTCACGCTCGAGACACCTCCAAAGCTCTGGAGCTTACCCAGTATTTTTTTGAGGCTGTGTCTACCCAGATGGAAAAGTGGTATGAAAGGAAGATTGAAGAAGCACGAAGCCAAGCCAGTCAGAAAGCCCAGCAAGACAAGGCTACACTGAAGGAACACATTAAAAGTTTAGAAGAAGAACTTGCTAAACTAAGGACTAAGGTGCAGAAGGAAAATTAGCACCTGAAAAGTGGAACAAGAAAGGATTCTTGAGGATTTCTGGTTTTAGAACTGTAGAATAGCTATGCCCAAGGAGTCAATTATTGTGTACATATAGCGAACTTGTCTTTAAAAAAAAAATCACTAATTTCTAAAATGTGCCAGATACATGCTTCCTATATCCTGAAGTGACGAAGACTTCCACAATTAAACTGAAACCAGAGGAAGCTTGATTAGTTTCAGGTTTCATTATAAACTCTAAATCTCAGGCCAGGTTCATCTGAAGTTCAAAAGCTCAGATTAAGCAAGCCACACTAAAAAACTGAATGATGTGTAAACCTAAACCCTAAAATTCAGGATGTATGAAATAATGTAAGTCAAAAGAAAGAAAAAAATTAATCCCTTGTGAACTCAAGTAGTCATTCATATAAATTTGAACACACCTGCTGTGCCTCGACAACAGTGTCTTTCTAGAAGAGAGCTATAACTCTGAGACAAGCTAAACTCTCAAATTCATAATTTTCAGAATGTTGACATTTTAACCTGGTAAAAACTTATGAAACAGATTTTTTAAAAACTCCTGGAAACATGAATTATCAAACAGATTTTAAGGAGAAAAGAAATTTTCATGATGTCACAAGATCCACTATATCTTAAAATTTTTTTTGAAAAGTCAGAGTTTAGGCTGGCTGGTTTGCTCAGTTGGTAAGAGTGCAGTCTTGTAACACCAAGGTCGTGGGTTCAGATCCCCATATCACCAGCCGCCAAAAAAAAAAAGTTTATGCAAGTAATGAGTAGTTGGCTAACAGTCCTGGAAGTGTTTGTTCATGAGCTCAGCCAAATAAATAAATAGCTCAGATGAGAAACATTCAAATCATGAGATCATGGTTTCTATATTTTTCAGCCAAAAAATCATTGATTAGTCATAGTGGTTTTAAAGCAGAGTAGCAGAAAAACATTCACAAAACAATTACCTGAAACTAATCTTTTTTTTCTTTTTTTTTTGGCAGCTAGCCAGCACAGGGATCCGAACCCTTGACCTTGGTGTTATAACACCGCACTGTAACCAACTGACCTAACCAGCCAGCCCAACCTGAAACTTCTACAAACTATTCCTAATCAAACCCAATTATCTTAGAGTATACCTTTCTGAATATAGACATATTGATTTACATTTTATAAAGAAATAAGGCTGTTTCTTGAAAATATTTTGAGTTCTGTCATTGAAGAACCACAAAAGCTTTCCACTGCTTTGCATTGACTATGTCAAGGTAAATAATTCAGTAATTCAATTTAGACCACACTGTTCCCAGCTTCATGAGCCCTGAAGACTTTTACTTTGCTCCATAATAAAATATAAACACAGAAACAAAGTTGTAAAAGTAGTCTGAGTATGTTGAAAGTTTCAATTTAATTATCTTCTAAGCTTTTTATCCCTTGGAATGTGGGATTATATTCATAATTCCATGTATGCATAGAAACTTCAATTCTATTTCTATAAACACAGTAATAATTGTCCATAACTGTGAATAAAATGCTGCTCGTTGAGCCAAAGAGAAAGTAATAACTTCTTGACAGAGGAACACCAAGAAAAACAAAGTATGCTTTTAGTCCCTTTGTTAAGCCCAGTTTTGGGCTTTTTTTACAGTGACAATCCATGGATACAGACAGAAAAAGTAATTCAGATGTAACTGATACATAACTTGAATATGAATATGACATTATCTCAAGTTGATTTTCATGTATTTATGAGCCTGTCTGGTTTCTCAACTACTATGTAGGTAGATAGTCTTGCCCCCAGGGATTCTTGTTGGATTGCTAATATTTAAGGCACTTTCCTCTTTTCAGTTCCCTATTTGTTCCTAATGCAGAATCAGAGTTATAGAGGTAGATGGTATCTTTTTAAAACCTACTCCCAACAGGATATCACTAAACTTTTTAGAATTATTCCTCAGTATGTATCAATTTATTGAGAACTGCATAATACTGAAAATGAAATCCTGAGTTCAGTAGGTTGTGTTCCAAGCAGGAGTTATGTTTATGTATCAAAATATCTCCTATTACCTCAAGATATCCTTGTCAAGAAATGCTGAAACAATTAAATTTTAATGTAACTATCAAGTCTAGACCGTAGAGTGCTTTGTGGGAGTATTTTGATTACCTCCTACCCATCAGAAGCAGGCAGCTTATTATTGTGAACTAGATAATTTTGTCAAAGGGCACAGTTAGGGGAGAGACTAGGGAGGAAAGACAAAGGTCAAATAGACCTAGTTTAGCGGTCTGCATGGCTCTTGCCTCTTGGTAGTCTGTTACAGAAGAGAAAACCAATGGAGGCAAAAAAGAGGGTTGGTAAGTCTCCTAACAGAGAGGTGGCAACATCTCAATTAAAACCAATGCAATAGCTTTTTATTTTCAAAAACTGTGTTTGATCTGTTTTTGTACCTTGGCATCGGCAAAAACTTTACAAGTCCAGTGTGTATTTTTCCTTATTTTTCTTTTTTAGCTATCTGCTAAAATGAGTAAATGCCACAGCTGTACTTTTCCAAAGAAACTGAACTACTAACAATTTATAGCCTGTCATGTAGGTCATGTTTCAAATTGAGGCTGAAACTTCCAATAGCTATGGAAAAAAATGATGTAAAACACAGAAAAGTTGTACGTTATTGCAGGTTTTTTTTAATTGTTAGTCCATTATTGCGTTGAGTACACTAAATATCTGTGAGAGACTGAATATATTAGTTCTAATCTTACTTTTGACTTTGGGAGCCCAAAATAAAGGAAGCGTTTTCATGTTTCTACCTTTTTTGAGTCAAATGTTGATATACTTGAGAGGTAGGTTATTTGCCTTCTATTTAATATTTTTATCACCTTACATTCATGTATTTTCCAAGCATTAGACATTGTTCTTAATGCTATGGATCTTAAATTCCTTACTAAAAATATGAAAATGTGGATACCTCATTTAGCCTATCGTGTTTTCATTTGTTGTGGATAACCAAATTTTATGGTTCCTGAAAGAGTACCTTCACCCAGCCATACTTTACCTTGTGTCTATAAAAGTGTTATTTAGAGTAAATACAGCTGCTTCAAAGTCAAGATCAGGTGCACCTCATCAAAACAAAACTGCTATAATGTGGCAAGATTTCTCAGTGCAACTTAAACAAATGATTAAACTGGTGACCATTCGGAAAATACTGGACAAAGGGGAAGGACAGAACAGTATGTAATAGTTAGCATGCAAGCCAAGGTAACATGTTTTTTGACTAATAAATTGTTCCTAAAAATTAAATACGTTTCTTCTTCAGTGTGAATTATAAAAGTCAATCAAATAAGACAACATAAACAATATCTAAGGGGAAATACTCTTTCCCTTTAATGTTAAGTCAAATAAATGTGAAGATATTAACTTAAGCTCATGAGACACAAAAGCAAGACATAGTAGAGCACTATTTTTATACAAATAAGTGAGTAAAAAATGGCTTACAGAAATAGCAAATTTAATTTTATCCTACTATAATTTCTTAAATGCCTGACTCAAGCAAGGAGTTGCCTGTGGTGATTCTGAGTTTTGCAGAGTAACAATTTGCTTTTGATCCTCTTTGGGCCGTATTCTACATAATTCCAATTATTTTCAGGATTGATGTGGGCTGCTTCCCTTTATTTTTACTAGCATTTTCCGGACATTCTATAACAGGACAGAGAGTTTATGTAATATGGTCTGTGTCTGTCATAAGAATGTCTGCTGATAGGACTGCAATAATACAAGTAGCAGGGAATATGTTCTGCTTTCTTCAGTTATTAGAAAGTCATCTGCCTCTCCGCAGGCACATCCAGAGCAATGCTTGTACCATGAATTTAAAACTTCCATCCTGATGGCACATTTTAAAAGAGGAGAATGACGGGTAGGTAGGTAGGTAGGTAGGTAGGTAGGTAGGTAGGTAGGTAGGTAGGTGTGTGTGTGTGTGTGGGTGTGTGTGTGTGTGTGTGTTATATTAAATAGCCTTAGCTACTTCTCTTATGCTACAAAGCTCTTGTACTTAACTTTTTTAATATAAAAGGATTTATTATAGTTGAAATAGGAGTGTAATTTACAGGGAACACCCAGAAAGGTAAATTGTTTAATCCAGAATACTGATAAAGATCATTTCATGATGAATAAAATGTTTCACCAGCAGTTCTATTCTGGCCAACATTTTAATGACTGTGGTTCCATACCTGAGAAGAAATTGCTACATAAATCTCAGGCTAAACAACAAGGGTTGGCCTATAATTCAGAGGGGATAATCAAAGCATGTAAGTGAACAAATGAAACTGTTCTTTCTAGATGAAAGTATAAGCAGTAATCTTAGCCTCTCGAAGATAAGAATTCAATTTTCAGTGTTTTACCTGCTTAAAAAAACAAAATCAAAAGAAATACCAACTAAGTTTTTCTTGGAGTATGTGATATTTGCATCTTGCAAATTCAAACCACAAATGCTGTTTAAAACTCTTCCATGTACACCATTGTTAGGAAGAACATTACCCAAATCACCAACTTCTACACCTCATAAATGATTTTTTTTTTAAGATTTTAGATTCACTAGAGATAGCCTATATTTGTGTATGTCAAACATGCCACACAAAGATACTTCCAAAGTATGTTTTTTTAGAAACTGTGCACAAATGCTTCCCCAGTTTGTCAGATCGTCTTCTTGCATGGGTTGGCTAATGTAAATCTATATAACAACCTGAAAATTGGCTCATGCGAGCATTCTGAATTAAATTACCCCTGCGGAAGAGTATTCAGAATTATTTTGTCTTATGGGTTCTAAGGCTATGGAGGTGGGGTGGACCCTGGCAATCCAGGTCATCAGCATATGCCACCACCAGTTCATAAGTCTGTTCTAATACAGTCCAGTACTAGATACCGTTTTTCATACTGCAAGTTTTGTCTACATCTTTAAGCTTTTTGGATTAGCGTCCTAGCTCTGTTCTGTTGATGAACAGAGGACTTCAGTCTGCAGAACTGCCAGTCCCAGCACCTTCCACAAGCTTTCACTTTCACATCTTTCACTAAATTAATTGTATGTTAGAAAGCTGATCTCTTTCAAAAGCGTCCTGAAGTTAACTTTGGTTATGATGTATTTGTCTCTGATGGATTCTTCAAATTCTTTTTCCTGTCACTGAAGGAGAAACTCATGCACCAAGGATTTCCCTTAATGATTTTTTTACTTTTTTTCCATATGGATGTTAAGACAATCACAGAAGTTTCATCCAGACCTAGTCTTCTCCTTTTTGGTAAGTGCTTTGATGTGTTCTTAAGCTTCTGTTTCTCTTTTCTTTCCAACAAAGGCCCAGATTCCCAATGATGATCTTTTTGGAGAGTCGTCTTTTAAACCATGACACACCTGAAGAACACACCTCTACAACCCTGAGGGGTAATGAAAAAGGACTTTTCCAGAAAGTTCCAGGGTATCTCCTGGGGTCAGTATACCTCCAGTCCTACATCTCATACTGTTTTTTAAAACAGTTTAATTGAGATACAACTCACATACCATACACTTAAAATGTATGAGGGTACTTCAAAATGTTCATGGAAAGATTTGTATTATCTTTCAACTCTATTTTTCCATCAACTTTTAAAAGTACCCTCATATAATTCAATAGATTTGAGTAGATTCACAGAGTTGTGCAACAAATACCACAATCTCACTTTAAGATATTTTCATTACCCTGAAAAGATATGCCATCTCCATTAGTAGTTACTCTCCATTCCACCCAAAGCCCTAGGCAACTACTAACTACTATATTCTGGATATTTCATATAAATGGAATCATACAATATGTGATTTGTGACTGGCTTCTTTCACTTAACAATGTTTTCAAGGTTTATCCATAAGTAGCATGTATCAGTCCTTCATTCCTTTTTATTGCCAAATAATATTTTATTGTATAAATGTGCCATATTTTATCCATTTATCAGCTGATAGGCATCTGTATTGTTTCCGCTTTTTGGCTATTATGCACACAATACTGCTATGAACATTTATCTACAAGTTTTTTATAGATTGCTATGAACGTTTAATACTGCAATGAACATTTACGTACAAGTTTTTTATAGAAATGTTCTCATTTCTCTTGGTTATAGACCTAGGAGTAGAATTGCTAAACCATATGGTAACTCTTTGTTTAACCTTTTGAGGAACTGCTTATATGTTTTCCAAAGTAGCTGCACCACTTTACATTCCCACCAGCTGTGTGAAGGTTCCAATTTCTCCACATCTTCACCAACATCTGTTGTTATTTCCCCTTTTAATTATAGTTGATGTGAAGTGATATCTCATTGTGGTTTTGATTTCCATTTCCCTGATGATTGTGTTAAGCATCTTCTCATGGGCTAACTGGCCATTTATTAGAGTGGTTTTTGCTTCTTACAAAAACTGTGATACATCCAAAAACATTTTCAAAACTCAGGGTATGTTTTCCAAAGCTAACGCAATTATCTTGATATGCTTTTCTTTCCTCTCTCTGATATACCATGCTCCATCTTCTGATATTCTGCCCAAGTACTGTACATACAAATACTTCGACTAAACTCAACAAAACACATGGAGACTGAAAATCCTTCAGAACAATGCTCTAGTTAAGATTTTGCTAAAGCGAGTGTTTTTTCTAACTCCTTGAGTTGCATATTGCCTTGAGTAATCATCATCCTTATTGTATCCTGTAGAAGAAAGTGAAATCCAGTTACTGTTTTACCTGGTTAAACACAGTACAGCTCTACCATTTTATTTGTTAAAATCAAGAACGAGTATTGGAAATTGGAACTGTTACATGTCAGGAAAGCCAAAAGCTTTCCATACGTATATAAGGAAAACACACACACACACACACACACACACACACACACACACACACACACACACACTCTCTCTCTCGAAAAAGTTCGCTGGAAAAACAGAACTGAAAGATAACACGAATCTTTCCATGAACTTTTTGAAGTACGTGTGCATGAGTATATAATGTGGTACTGCATAGAAGTCAGGTGATGCTACTGTACAGTATAGATACAGCAATAATAAAATTTAAAATGTCATCTAAATGAGTGGAAAATCAGTTAACATTACAAGCAATGCTCAAGATGTATCATGTCAGTGACATGTATACGAGGGGGTTTTCAAAAAGTTCGTGGAAAAGATTAGTATCATCTTTTATTTTCATCTTTTAATTCTATTTTTCCATAAACTCTTTGAAGTACACTTGAATTCCAAGATGTCTACTACATTTTAAAAAATCATCAATCAATACAGAGTCCGAACCTTGTCCTCACCTATATCTTGTTCTCACCTCTTCAGTGGCACTTTTGTTTCTTTTGAATTCTTCCCTTGCCCAGTCCTTCAGGTATGTGCGATCAGAATCATTTGGAACTTGCCGAATTGCTTGCAAAATCCTTCTATAGAGAAGGAGAACTTGTTGTCTTCTCATGAACTGTACAAGGGAGGAGAAATGATTACCACTGCATGATCGCCAGCCCAGGAAGCTCTACTTTAGCAAACCAAACTGTAACCAGATGACTTTTCTTGGTCCTCAACTTGAAAAGGGAAAAGAAAAAACTGCTTTTAAAAAGAAAGCAGCAAAAAGTTCATTTGGGCTGTTTGTTTACTCCTTTGTCAAACCTAAGAACCCTAAGTCAGGAGCTGACTACTAGGTAGAAAAGGGGCGGCTAGTCTCCTAGAAGCTGTAATCACAATAACAGCACTTTTTCTAAGTGCAGTTATTCGAATTCTCTTTATTATAGCTCAGTACAACAGACGGTCTTTGCTGCGGCTGAGGCACCGGTGCTCGGAGAAACGCAAGAGCTCGGCGCGTCTGAAGCGCCGTTGCCAAGCCAACGCAGCTGCCTGCGCCTCCCGTCGGCCCCCGCGGCGGGGAGCCCCGCCCCCCAGGTCTGAGGCCAATCACAGGGTGCGCGCCCAAGGTCAGGACCCCAGGGCCTGGCCTGGTCGCCCCGAGACCTACTCTGTAGGCAGGTGGGAGGGGGAGGGGGAGAATCGAGAAGCTCAAACCGTGGAAGGCTGCCCTAGAAGGCCGGAGAGAACCGAGGGCACCTGCTTTAGCGTTAGCGTCGCCGGGTGTAACCGGGAAGCGGCCATGTCCACCAGACAGGAGTCCCGCTGGCGCCTCAGCGCGCAGTAGCGGAAGTCGGGGCGCAGCCAGGGGCGGGGCGAGCTCGGTTTCCTGGGAGACGTCCTGCGCGTCGTTACGCTGACTGACAGAGTCGGGCGGGCGGGACTGGGGCGGGTTTGGAAGGCAGGGGTTACGAGATACGTAGCTGTGGGCCAGGACTTTCCCTTTCCTTAGCCTAAGTTCTCTCGTCGATAAAAACAGTTCTTGGTATGGCAGGTGATGAAGAGTTCATTAAATGGAAGCTAAGGGTTTTTTCGGGGCGGGGGGAGAAAAATTATTTTGTTGAACTCTTTTCGAGGCTTTTAAAATTTGTAGAGTTGAAAATGCTAAAATGTAAAATGTTACTTTAAAATTTGCGTCCTTTTTTCCCTCGTTTTCGTCCTGTTCTTTTTTGTCGCAAGCATTTTCCCGGAGTGGTGGTTTTCGTGATCGTCATTCGTAACGTCTTTAGGTGGCTGCCCCACTGGGGTTTTAAGCACCTTTCATCACTGACTAACGAGGAACCGTACACGCCTATCCCTCGAGCTTTCATCTTCTGTTTTATCTTCCCTACAACACACACCACACGCCCTTAGGTTATATTACTAGAAGTCGAGTTAGTGAATCTTTGCCATATTACTTTTCCAAATAGTGTTGTACCTAATTAAAATACAACCAAAACTGTTCATTCAGTAACCCATTTACTGAGCGCTTGCTTGATTGCCTCACATGATGGGATTTTGGTGCTTACTCTTCCTAGGTGTGTCTGGCTACCTAACTTCCAGCCTGCCTCCTCATCTGTAAGGTGAAGTGATAGCATCTACCTCAGAGTTGTATTATATGTATTGTACTGAGAACAGGACCTGGAACCTATAAGAACTCTAATCATTAATTTTTTTTTTTTTTTTAAAAGATGACCGGTAAGGGGATCTTAACCCTTGACTTGGTGGTGTCAGTACCACGCTCTCTGAAGTGAGCCACGGGCCGGCCCATCATTAGTTCTTTTGAACTTTACCAGGCATTGTGAGTGATGCTAACCCCATGACAACATTGTCAATGATATATTTTTCAAACTTTGATTAGCAGTAACAATTTATTAATTTTTTTTAAGTACTAGTGAAGTTAAATATCCCTTGCCAATTTCAGTTACACTGATTATGTGAACTATTCATGATTTGGTTCCATTTATGATTATCAGGACTTTTAACTTTATATGGGCTATTTGTTCTATTTAAGTTTTTTGTTTTGGTCATTTGTACATTCAGAAGCTTTAAGTCTCTATAAAGTCAATAAAGTCACGTGTATTTTCTTTTTTTGTTACTTTTGAGGCTTTTCAGTGTCATCTCTCTCCCATTCAGAGCTTTGCAATTACTTTTTACTCTTTTAAAATATTTACTTCTTCATTTTGGTTTTATGGCATGATGTCGATCTATTTCTTTTTCCAGCCACTAAGCTATAATTTGAATGCCATTTATTAAATAATTTATTCCTTTTCCTGGGCTTTGCCTTTTCGATTAGAGTCTCAATAGTCTGTTCAGGATTGCTTTGTCTTGGACTAATTATGTTTTTGATTTTTGTTTTATCAGCTGGCAGGACTGTAGTTTCCTTTAAGAATCTTCTATTAGTGTTTTATATGACCTTTAGAAATGTTTCATATAATTTCCCTCCAAATCATCTTATGATCTTTATTGGAATTTAGAAAGCATTGAATCTAAAATATGTGAGAACAGATATTTTTAGGCTCGCTCTTTTTCCCATCTAGAAACATTCACTCATGCTGGATACTGGTAAATACTGTCATGAGTCATATTCCCTTTCCTCAAAGACCTCAAAGACTCATGCTTTGGGCAGGAAAACCTGTAAGTTCAATGTAGTACTAACAAAAGATGTCAAGATTCATACTGTGGGACTTCACCCTCCCTGGAGGGCTTATCTGACCTAGGTGTTTGTCAGAAAGGCAAAGTAGATCAGGGGATTCCAGACAACACAAGGAACACTGGCAGATTCCAGGAACTATGGTTTCCTGTGATTAGAGCAGACAGTGGAGGGGACACTGGGAGAGAAGGGACAGGACAGTCAGGCAAAAGCCTCATAGGTCACACCATGAAGCTTGAATAGTACCCTCTTCACAACAGGGAGCTCTGAAGGGATGTTCAGCTGTAGAGATTTTTAGAAACGTCTCCTTGGATGTTGGGAGTAGGATATAGTGAAGCACGCAATGACAAGTGTTAGGTGGGATATCATTGAAGTAGAGTCTAGGCCAGACATTAAAAGAACCCCAACTGCAGTGGAACAAGGAGAGTGAAGGAAATAGGATAGGATATATGTCCACAAGTTAGATTGGACACAATGATTAATGTGATTGGAGTTTTGGATGGAGGTGGAGAGGGAAGTAAGGTGATATGTAGGTTGAACTCCAAGTTTGTAAACAGAGTGGCCATTTAAAGCCACTGGATGGGGAATGTTGGAGAAGGAACAGGTTTGGGATGGGGGAATTAGAACAGTGACATTTGAACGTGATGCATTTGAAGAGTCTATCACCTAAGGCTCAGCAGACATCTGAATGTAATTGTAAATGCAAAAGAGTAACCTTGCTGGACTCCTGGACAGAGATTTTGTAGGCCTTTTGCTTAGATGATGGTTGAGGCCACAGAAGTGGTGAAACTGTCCAAAATGAGATGATTAAGAGAACAGGAAGAACGTTTGTGTTCTGCTGCCCATTCCTTAAATGTCAGAACTTACCTATTTGACTATGGGGGTGGGGAGGAGGGTTTGAGGGGGTGTGGACACAAATGGGGGCAGCCCAGATCCTCAATAACTTCCTCTAAGTGACCCAGGCATGTCATGCTGCTTATCCTGCATGAGGAACCTCTACCCCATCAGTTTTTGTTTTTTTTTTTTGTCTTTTTCGTGACCGGTGCTCAGCCAGTGAGCGCACCGGCCATTCCTATATAGGATCTGAACCCGCGGTGGGAGCGGCGCTGCACTCCCAGCGCTGCACTCTCCCAAGTGCGCCACGGGGCCGGCCCTACCCCATCAGTTTCTAACAGGCTCCTGTGACACTGCTCACTTCCCATCACAGCACAAGTTGAAAATGGCACTCTCGGATACCTACTTACAGGAATTTCTACTGTCCCAGACCCCACAAGCTATCCCTGGGCCAAGGGAATCACTCTGGACACATCAGTTAAGAAGTTCTGTCCTAGATAAGCCTAACAATTAAAGGTATATATAATAGACTGCATCACTGTAGTAATGCTGGGGTCTTTTCCAACCAGACCCAACCCTGCTTGGAAGATTAAACTTCCTGCCCCATAGAGGGCTTTAACCAATGAAATGTGAGTGGAAGAGATCTGTCATTATGGAACAGAATCTTTACAAGCCATTGCGTGGTTACACCAACTTGCCTGTTTCCCTTTGCCACAAAGCCAGCATGTTACAGCTCATCTACCATGGACATTGACACAAGAAATAAAACCCTTACTGTGGTCAGCCATTGAAGTTCTGGGGTCTTAATAAATTAGTGAGAGCTGACTGACCTAGCAGATAAGATCACTCCCCAAGCACACCTTTTATAATCCTCTGTTGTATTCCATTAAGAATAGTCACAAATAGACTGGCCCGTTAGCTTAGTTGGATGGACTGTGGTGCTGTAACACCAAGGTCCGGGGTTTAGATCCCCATACTGGCCAGCCACCCCCCCCCCCCAAAAAAAAAGAATTTGATAATGGAGATTCAGACTTCAAAGATATAAATGTGTAACAGAGCAACAAACTTGCTGTAGTGGATTGAAAGGCCCCCCAAAGTCATTGAAGCTTAAAACCCACTCTAACTGTTGAAAGTGGAATATCTTATTATAGTCATTGAAAAGTGGGGCCTTGGAGGGGTGACTAGACTGTGAGGATCTTGCCATAGAATATAACTTCAGGTACATGCTTTAGGACACTTGGTTAAACAAGAAGCAATCTGTGTCTTTGACCACCACCACAAAAGGGTGGCAATCTTCACAGTGTAACTTGAAAACAGAAATGGAGATAGATGATTACATCATGGCATGTTGCCTACAAAAGAACATTCTGACAGTGAGAACATTAAATAGAACACAGCAAAGTTTCAAGTATTCAAGCACTGCTTTCTGGCCAAGTAAAAACTGCCTAAAAGTCACTGATGTTTTTTGACTGGGGGGAAAAAAAGATGTAGCTGTTTAGCTGCTTACTTCTCCTGGATACATTTCTCTTCCAGGAAGAGACTGGCTCAGTGCAGCTTGAAAGCAGTGTGAGGAATGATTCTTCCCCTTAACTAAGGAAAAAAATGAACTAAAGAAATAAATTACTACAACAACAGGGACTATGGCACTAAGAGAATGAAATAAACAAAGGGAAAATCATCTTCCCATCATTGCATAGTCTCCCAAAGCAGCAAATGCGAAGGACACGGAAAAGCCACTTCATTTTCACACAGCCCAACCATCATTTTTGCTCATTACTTGGGCTCCCATAATGTCCAGTTGCTTTATGAGGACATACACGCACAAGCTTCCTACCCCGCTTCTCTCTTGAAGGTAATTTGCATAATGAGCATGAGGAGAAAATATATACTCAGACTCTCCAGAAAACACAGCTGCCTCAGCCTCTTGACAGCTTTAGGGCATACACCATGGGCTTTAGCAAGGCAGGGCTTAGAGCAGGGTCCAAAGGGCAGCTCCCTTTAGTCCTTTATCTAAGGGACTGGCACAGACTCATGATCCCGGCAGCATCTCAAGGCAGGTGTCCAGGGCCCCTGTGAGGGAACACAGGTGGCTAGGATCCTCTCAAGCCAGGCCTTCCAAGCCAGGGAGAATGGGTCACTCTACCCGAGCTAAGAGATGGGACACCTGCTGCTGCTGCTGCTCCTTCATCGTCCCAGGTTTGTTGTAAGAACCTTAGCCCAGGCAAAGCAGGGAGCCTGATAGCTTTCTTTAAGCTCCAAGATCATGTTGTAAAATAAAAACAGACACTGCAGTAAAAATTT